CTTGGGGTAGATCCCATCCAGCCCCATAGACTTGTGTGTGTCTATATGTGGTGTGGCAGGTCGCTAACCACTTCCTCGTGGATTATGGGGGCTTCATTCTGCTCCCCTTCCCTGTCTTCCATCTCAGGGGTCTGGGTACACGGAGAACAACTGGTCTTACTCTTAAAGACTGAGGCAAAGAAGACAGTAAGTACCTCAGCCTTTTCCTCATCCTTTGTCACTATGTTTCCCCTGGCATCCAATAAAGGATGGAGATGCTGATGCTGAGGATTACCTCTGGGGTAGCACATTTTTAATGTCTCTGATATACTCAATCCCAAAGCCAGTTCTCAAGACACTTGAGGGCTTAGCACAGCAAAACCTGGGAAGATTAGTGTTAAGGACCCAGCAGATACGGAAGCTGTGGAGATCCTATGGCACTGTGTCCTGTAAAAGTGATTGACAGCAGATCTCCACAGGGGAAGGTACAGCAGGAGGGTGATGTATTCCTCACTAGCTGGGGCTCTGCAAAGCCAAAACATTATCTAGAGCAGTGTAGAAAACTGTGTTGGTCCATGGATACTGAATATTAATTCCTTGACCCCAATTTCTTCCTTTGACGTAGTGTGTCCCTGTCATCTGCATTTTAATATTCAAATATTAAATAAATATTCAAATATTAAATTAATATTCAAATATTTCCCATTTTCTCAGGCTTGCACCAGTATAATCTGATATAACCCCCAACAGTGGATGTCTCTGGAGTAGCTTTGCAATAAATTCACTTAGGCCCTTGATATCCAGGGCCTAAGTGGGACTGCTGTGTCCCACAGGTCATTTCTCAACCTTCTTCAGGAAAAAGAAAATTCAGCTTTGCTAATGCTGCTTCTGATAAAGTCATGGCACAATTCTCATTCATTTCACTGGGTTCCGAGTTATTGTAAAAAACAGAGTAAAGACATTAACATCCCGGAAAACTACTTCCTTAATGGTATTCGCTGTGACTGCTGCTCTTCCTTGCTGTTTCTGCAATGCTGCTTTACCTTGTTTAGCCACTGTGATGGCTGTAGTCTAGGAAGCACAGGAGAGAAGTTCAGCATAGTCTTTTCTTTTAGTCTGTAGAGGAAGAATCAAATTTGAATAAAAATGCAGCCTGCATCATGGTAATTGTGTGGTACAGGTAGCTGCTCTGTTAACAGCCGTTTCTTCTTTTCTTCCTTTCCTTGCATCCTGCTCCTAGCATGCAATGAAGCTGCTCAGTCTCAGTGCTGTATTTAGTCTTCCAGCACAGTTTGTCTTTTTTTAGCTCTCAATGCCATTAATGCAGCTAACAAGTCTCAATCAGTCCTCTTGCTGGAAAGCTATCTTTTAATACAAATACAGATTTCCTTGGCATCCTGATGTGAGGGATATGAATGGCCCTCCTTAGCCTTACTGCAGGTATTTCATTCCCCGTGATGCGTGGCCTCTGCAGACTGCCTCACCTGTTGCTGAGCTGTGGGGGCTGGATAGTGATACCTCTGGGAGTCAGCAGAAGGTCTCTCCAACACCTGCCCTGGCTTTTCCTCCATGTATTTCTGCATTATATAGAGAGAGCACTAAAGATGTACCAAACAGAAAACAGGGCTGTCCCTCCACGCTGCCAATGGAAGTGTAGTTGAGCCGGGGGCGTAGAGCTCGGTGCACCGAAAGTTGTTCAGGTCTGTAACTCGTTTCCTCTCACTATCACGTGAAATGCTTTTCAGCCCTTGAGTAAACACAACTAATTCCCTTCAGAGTGGATTTTGACAGAAAGGATACATGACAGAAAACAAAGGATGACGAATCGTCCACTGGAGGACTTGGGTACTGTAACATAAAAGCTAAAAGTTGATTGGAGTAGTTGATGGTGCTGGGTGGGTTCTTTTTCATGCTCTGTGAATCTGTGCTGTATGTGATTTATACAGTATGAGCTGCTCAATTTACTTGAATATGCTAGAAAGATTCTTATTCCCAAAATATGGTAGCGTAAGAATCTTAAAGAGTCTGAGCTGTACCTTTCCCCCGTAGCTCACTAAACCCTCTTGAACTTAGCGTAAAGTTGATCTGTATATTTGTATCATTATTAGTGCCTGGGGTGAATTTATTTCCCAGGAGTTACACTTAAGCCTCAGATTTTACAATTCTTGTGCAGATTAATTCTTGCCTGATGGTAAGAGGATTCCTCCATGACACAGACTCAACTGATACAGTAAGACTTGGAGAGCATCCTTCTGAGTATGCAAATCAAGGAAGAGAGCACCACTGTTGAGACTAGAGCAGAAGGATCTCCGGACTTTAGGGAGAAAAATGCACACACAGATAATTGTCCTAGTGTTGTTTCTTCTGACTACTGTGGCTTGCAGTCTTTTCTGTGTATAAGAGCGCTTCTGTTGGATCACTGTTGAGGATAAATTTTGAATCCTTGCCAGAACCACAGACCACATAGCCTGCTACAGTTCAACAGGAAGCTTGTGTACAGATAAAATATAGACTGAAGACTTTTGTAAAATGTGTCGGGGTAAGAGTGATTAGCTCCAAAAGAATGCCTGACTTATTGGACACACTTTTTTCAGATTGATTTTATTTAACACTGTGATTTTTGTCAGGTTCTTAATTCATAGTCAGGAGCACAGTTAGAGAAAGGACTTTCCTCCCTGCCCAGAAAAGAAGAAACACTGTCATAAGTCTCATCCTGGGTAAGAAGTTTTGTTTCTCTATCTGAGAAGCTCCCTTTCATTTTTCAGATGGATACCCTGGAGTTCCTGGGAGATGAATTCAGTGGAATGGCCAGGTGCCCCTATGATGCAAAGCATGCCAATGTTGCTTTGTTTGCAGGTAAAGTGACAGAGATAAACTTTTTGCTTTCTGTCCTGCAGCCCAGGCTTGCCATAGCATTGTGTCTCTTGAGTCCAAAGTGCCAAAATTTAAAAGGTGGCAAAGGGAGTGAATAATGACTAAAAATAGGGGGCATAAGGAAATCACTAGCATGGAAGCCTTCCCTTCTCTGGGATTAACTTCACTACCATAAACATTGCCTGAAGCCTCAGTTTCCTGGTTCAATATTTCAGTATTTCCTGGATTCGTGATAATATGATGCCAGACCAGTGTGAGGCACCATTTCTGGCTGCATCCGGCTTTTGCAAAAGTCAAGGAAAGTCAAGGCTTGTGTGAACTTTAATGACGTGCGGGCAGGATGTGCTCTTTAACAACTCTAAGCTTAAGTTAACCTTCATAATAGGAAGTTAGGGAACATGCTGTGATGTCCTCTTTTCCAGATCTAGAAGGAAAGGGAAGGTGATTTTATTTTAAAGCAGAAAACATCTCAAAGTGGTGTTGCCAGGTGTTGTAGACAAAGGAGAGAAGTGTGTTGGTTAATAATGATTTATGCTGTATGCAGCAGAATACAGTTAACTCTGATTTCTACTACAACAGTTAAAAAAAGTGAGTGCTTATTAATGGGGTCAATTTAGGCTGTTGATTGTGAAATGGTATTTTTCTACCTCTCTTCATGAATTCCTGATTAAGTTGTTTCTTTATTGGACTTCTCTTAGGGTGAGCCCTGCTGATCTTTTCTTAGATTTGGCTGTAAAATAGGTGGCAAAGATAATACAGAAGTCACCCATGATAATGTCAGTCCTCTTCATCAGGCTTGGTGCTGGAAAGCGCAGCCTGGGTGCTCACGTAGAAATACTTCAGCTATTCCTCTGAGAGCATGCAAGTATTCCAGCCACTCTCAACTGAGTCTGTGGCCGAAGGACTGTATTAAGCACTACTGTGTCTAAGGTGGCATTATCTGCCTTACAAAGGAAAGATTTTATAGCATGTTGCAATTTTTTTTTCACTCTTTATAATGTAAATAAATGGGTCCTTTTGTTTGAAAGATAATGATGATGGTGGTAGTATGTAATTTTTTAATTACAGTCAAAAGAACATAAAGTAGAAATTCTCTGATTGTAGGAGGTAATTCATAAACCATGGAAAGAGAGAGACACCTTCAGAGAAAGATTTATCCTATATGCCTCAGATTCCCTATCCTTAGGGCAGTCTGAATCACCTTTCAGAAGGGCCTTCCTCACTATACTGGCCAAGAAAGTGTTTATGACCAACTTAATGTAAACATTTACCTTGCATGCAGCTGAAGTTTGGTAAGATGACTCCCAGTGTGTCACTGAAGAAGTCCTCATGTTATTTGAAAATAAAGACTATCTGTGGAAATTATCATACTCTTTCATGATGATTCAGAATAAATTTGATACGGTTCAAATAAATTCTTGTAGAATATACCCTGTAAATCTGCTAGCTTCAGAAAATCACTGTTTGATATGCCATACATATTGATACCCGTGATAACTTTTCAGAGTGCAGTGACAAGCAGTTTCAGAGCAGTTTAGGGCACTAGTCCAGCTCATCTGAGTCTGTTGGGTGCACTTACATGAATATGGCTCTTCTTGCAGCCTGTAGCTATTACAGCTGATATGTGCAAATTGTAATTGGTCACATGGTCTTCAGGAACTTGGCAGGAAAGAAAATAGATGTGTGATTGTATTAACATGAGTTCAGACATCCATATCTAAACAATTCAGCTTTTTATTCTATTTTAAAATTGTTTTTAGTATCTGCTTTTTTTGTAATTTTTTCTTCTGATTTTGCTAAGAAAAAAAGCCCATTTTTAAATAGCCAAATAATTATGGGAATTGTGGGGCTCAGAACAAAGAGTACAGTCCTGCTAATAAAAAACAGTCTGATTTTTAAATCTTGAGCTGAAATTAAACATCATCTTTGAGTGCAATGAGGAGAGCTTGACCAATAGAAGCATCTCTGCTTTGTCCTGGGTATGTCTTCAGTGCTGGTGCCTTCAAGGCCCAGCACCTAACATAATCTCTGTCAAAGGAGATGTAGGCCATTCTGATTTTTATGTAGACACAACAGAGACACAAGTTGCTGGGATGCTTGTGCTCCTACCAGACATCATGTTCCAAGATCTGTCTCACACATGAAAACAGCCCTGTACAGTTACCATGACCTGCAAACAGATTAGACAACAAATATAATTTAAAAATGTTGTTGGAGCTCATGCTTTTACCTCCTGATAGTTTTGCATCTTTTGGTTGTCCTTGGGGTGCCTTGTAGACCTTTTCTTATCGCTTGTCCTCGCGTTCTTTAAGAGAGATGAATGCATAATTCATGTGGGAAATGTCTAAAACGTGTTTTAGAAAAGAAACATAGATAGGCAATCCTCCTCCATCTCTTTGCATCCCCGTTTCACCTGGGCCCCCTGCGAACTATTTAATTTTTTGCTAGTAATCTTTGGTAGAGGAGAAGTGCTCTCAAAGGGAGAAATTTGCATAAGTGTCAATTAGCTGACAGTCCCTAAGACCTGTCTGGTTTGCCCTCCCAGTTAAAACTAACAGTTTTGTCACGGCTTCCCCATATTTATTTTGCTCACATACATAGGCAGAATTTATGAGCATTGAACCACAGGGAAACTGGATAGGGTAGAGAAACTGGATAGGGTAGTTCAGTATGACTTACCTACTGAGAAGTAGGTAAATGAAAAGAAGAGAAGAGAAGAGAAGAGAAGAGAAGAGAAGAGAAGAGAAGAGAAGAGAAGAGAAGAGAAGAGAGAAACTGGAGAAGAATTACTCCATAAGGTTTCTTCTCCCACAGCATGCCTCTGAAATTGTCATTTTGAAACTTGCTTGTTCAGTGCTCAGCCCCATTTACATAGCTGGATTTTTTTCCCTTCGGTGTTCCTAAGGAGATGGTGATGATTTTGTTTGCCCCATCATATTTGACTGATGAGCGAAAGCAATTCTATTATTTCTAATGCTCCTCCCCTCTTGTTTCTTCTTTCCTTCCTCCCCAGAGGGAAAGCTGTATTCTGCCACAGTGACCGACTTCCTTGCAATAGATGCAGTCATATACCGGAGCCTTGGAGACAGCCCAACTCTGCGGACAGTTAAACATGACTCAAAGTGGTTGAAAGGTAGATAAACAAACAAAACGGAAAAAGCGGCATCTCTGATGAGAGTCTTGGATTCCTGACAGACCTCTCTGTCATTTCATTTCACCAACGATTTCTGGCAGAAAGAAGGAACTAAATTACATCTCTTTCTTACTTACACTGATCTGTTTTACCTCAGTTACCGGACCTAACAGAAACTGTGAGCATGGTGGATCAGCATATATATTCCAGCAAGATTTCCAAGCTGAAATCCATCAGTTTACAGCTGTTGGATGTAAAGGTTGGAACTTGCAGGGCTCGGTGTGCTTTGGCTGTGTTTGAAAATATTCCTGCCCCAGGACTGTGTTAGGTAACAGTCAAGGCTTCATGAAGTATAGAGGGTTTGTCCTGTAACATTAAGATTCATCAATGAAAATAAAATTATGGGAATATTGCACAAAGCCTTTCTTTTATGGTTTTTAGGAACTGTACAGCTGCCATTGAATTAGGCAATTTCTGTGCTCTAAATGCCCTCTTTGTTAAGAACGGTGCTGTTTAGCTTCACGTAGGCATTATGAATAGTTAGTATTTGGAGTGATTTTAACAGGGAGCAAAGCCATAGTTTGAAGTCCTTTTCTGCATGCAGAAATGTTTTGCCAGGTGTCGACTTTAGCTGTCCCACTTTGCTTGCTGCTACAGACACGTGTGGGCAGAAACAGTTACATGGTTTGTTATTCCCTCCACACACAGCCTGCATGCCATAAAGAGCACTGCTTGGACCTCTCAGGCATACCATCATATCTTGCCTCTTTACCTTTCCTCGTACACCGTGCAGGGCAGACGTATTAGTGGCAAACACTTAACTACCTTGCAGTGATGTGACAGACTTGTCCCCAGCTGTCCTGTCCCCAGACAGTGATTCTTCTGCAGTGGTGATGATGTTAGTTCTGAAAATTGAGCAAGTGTGCCAGTGAGGGCATTTCACCTTTGGATGTTTAGTGTGAATGTATTTGGCTTCTCTTTGCATGCAATATGCTGTACTTAATGCCTAAATAGGACGTCTTGGTTTTTTCTCTAGAACCATACTTTGTCCAGGCAGTGGACTATGGCAATTACATTTACTTCTTCTTCCGGGAAATAGCAGTGGAGTACAACAGCATGGGAAAGGTAAGGCCAAAAACATTGCCTTGAATGACTTTGTCAGATTCAGGTGGAGCAAAACATATGCTATTCTTGGACCAGTGCTAGGAGTGACCTTGAAATGAGAAACATAAATCACAATGACAAGGTCATCGTTTTGAGAAGATTCTTATCACTCAAGCCAAAAGGTTGGTTGGAGTGAAACATTGCACTGTCTTGAAAGGAAACAGGATGGTTTCTTACAGTGATGGTGTATGCTGGAATCTCTTTTCTCAAATCATAAAAAGCACAAGGCAAATGTAGTTAGTTCAGCATCGTAGGTAATTGTTAAAAATGGATTCCAAAGCAGGGAGATATGTTTCTTTAAGAAATCTGAATTGGAGTGCTGAGTAAACAGGGGCAGGAATTTTGTTCTCTGCCGTTCTGCAAAGAATAATTAAACACTTTCTGCATTTTTGCTAATTTCACAATAGCTTTCTGACTAAGCAGTCAGAAAAGCTGACCAAGGTCACAAAGGTGGAGGGCAGGAATAAAAGCCCAGCAAGATTTGCATAGTTTTTAAGTGCTGAAAACAGAGCAGGCAGCGTGGGTTACAGGGATTGTGAATACAAAATGTGCTGTTGTTTGGGGAAATAGAAAGCTAAGCAGTCTGTATGGAAATGAGTTTTATATGGGTTGAGAACAGATCTCCTGAAGGATTTATGGCTGTGTAGTAAATGCCAGAGCCTTATCTTTTATAGCACACTGTTCCAAAGCTGAGTTTTATTCTGTTTCTTATTTGTCACAGATTATGGAAACGTGGGATTAAATTAAGCACCTTGCTGTGTTATTCCAAATGTTTTAAAAGCAGAATTCCAACCAAGTCTTTTAGTTCAAACAAACATTTCACTTTCTCCATTATTTTTGCTCTACTTCTTCCAGGTAGTTTTCCCAAGGGTGGCTCAGGTTTGCAAGAATGACATGGGAGGATCTCAGAGAGTGCTGGAAAAACAGTGGACTTCCTTTCTCAAGGCTCGTTTGAACTGCTCAGTTCCTGGCGATTCACACTTCTACTTTAACATATTGCAGGCAGTTACAGATGTGATCCATTTCAATGGCCGGGATGTTGTTTTAGCAACCTTCTCCACTCCATATAATAGGTAATAGGCGCAATAACCTTTTACCTTCTGTTTCCTTTATGTTTTGCTTTTCACTGCAGTTTCTTCTTATTTTATGAAGGTACAAGAAGTGATTGCTCATACAATGTAATTATTATGTACCACAAGCTTACTGATAGTTTGTGTTTCATCCTTATCATTTTAAGATACCATGGTATTGCTTACTGCATCTTATATCTGATAATTTAGAGCAGCGTTCAACCATTTACTATCTGGACACGTTCCTTGGACCTACTTTTCTTTACATGGGAATAATTCAGACTGGCCACCAAGAAGTTTTGCAGCCTGTAACTTGCAGAATGTTATTCAAAGAGAAAATACAAATTTTTTTTTCTCACAGAGAAAGGGCTTGGTCTGTCCTGTTTACATCTAGACCCCCAAGAACCACGTTGGTACTCCTTCCCTCTATTTCATGCATCCCTACTGACTCTTGCATTTTCTCCTGGGAGAGCCAAGATCCTATGCTGTCCTACTGGCTGGGGAGTAGGGTCCCCAGAACACTTGTATTTCATTGTTCACATGGTTTTCCAAAAGCATTGGTTCATCTGCAAAGAATTTATTACCGTTACACATTATAACATGTTTCTCCGGAAGTTATTAGAAAAGTAACTGTATGTAATTATTGAGGTCTCCCAGAGAAGTTAAAAAAATAGTAGCATTCTAATTAAAAAATATATTGCTGTTTCACAGAGTAACATTTGAGCTGAAAGGGAAACTTTATGCTGAAATTCATCTGGTTTTGCTGTACACTCACCACCTCTTGTCAAAGCCTGACCTCAGTGAGGTCATGCACAGACCTGAGTTCAAATGAGAGTAAGCCCAGGCCTGTAATGTATAATCGCTGCTTTTGACATCAAAACGATAGGAACTGCAATGGAATAATTATGCCACCAATAGGGAATACAGGCTTAAATTAAGATGATCTTTTTTTTATGCAAGCTGGCTTCATAAAAACAAGTGAACAAACAGAGATTCAGCATCAGAAAATAGGTCGTATCTTGAGATTATCTCAAAATTGAGATTGTTCTCCCGCTCTGCTAGTATTTCCTGTGGTGTGTCATGAATAATACTTTTCCTTAAACCTTGCATTTTAAAATTTAAGTACTTGGTATTAAAATCAAGGTACTATTTTATAGGCCCCATTTTTTGCCAGATATTGAGGATGACAGGAAGGCGCATGGGCTTGGAGACACCTCATTAACAAACCTACCTCTGACAAGGATGCGTCTCTCTCATTCCTCCTCCACTGAGGAAAAGCTGCAACAAATATCTTTGATCTCTGGAACAAAGCTTCCCCCTAGAGTGAGCTGGAAAAGATTCCCCAGTCTTACCTGAGGTCACCCAGGGTAGGAGCTGGTGATGAGTTGTAGTCCAGTGGCTGGGAGATGGCTTGTACTCCATCTGTATGGCTTTATCACACTGCGGACCTGCAAACTGCCATCCTCAAGAGTAAAAGCTGTTGTAGTCTTCTCACGGCAGCAATCCCTCCATCACTGTGGAGTTCTCAGCACTTTTAATTCAGTATAGTACACCTCAAGATTTTAGGGTTGTTTTTTCTTTAGGACTTAATTCAGCAAAGTGCAAAATCTTGTAGCTGGAGTGGTTCTTGAGGTGTCTTTTAGGGTGAGGTCCTGTGTGTGGCCAAATATACCCTTGACCAACTCTTACATCGACATATGTGTGGCTGCCTCCATTTAACACTCTTGCTGCATAGTATCACGTTGATACAGAACTTTAAAGTTTCCTCCCATATAAAAACACAATCTGTGGAGATCAAAGTAAGACTAATACTGCCTCCCTACTTGTTGTTTCCTTCAGTAACAAGCATTTTGAAACCTTTTAATATTCAAACAGTTATTTTGCTATCAATTTATATACCTTTATGAGTTTAGTTTATTCTCTGTAACAGTATTATAGTTCCTACATTTTTTCTTTGGTATAATAACCTGCTAGCTAAAAGCAGAATTGAAAGCCTCAGCCAGCTGGGTTCATGCTATTTACCTGATAAAATCAAGCAGTGGAAGTCAGACACAAATACAGTAGTTCATGTGTAAAAAAATGAAAGGTGGATAAATGAATAATTCATGCTTCCAAGTGACTGAGCATGGGAAACCCCTAAGCCTTTCAGAAAGTATGTAGGTAAGGATATAATTATGTTTAGACAATGCTAGCGTGCAGTTGCATGCAAATAATCAAAAAGTTGAAATTTACGATTTTCTGATCTAAAAATAAAATCAAATTTGCTTCTATAAGCTCTTTACACCTCATTGAGTTAAGCAAATTCCTAAGCATAGCTAACTCCTTTCCGTTGGGAAAATTTGGTGGAGATCAGGCTGCGGGAGGATGGAGTAATAACGTGTAAATGCCAGGTCAATGGCATGTTGCAGCATACTCCCAGTTTGATCAGCACCAACTTCTGAACTGTCTGCAGTGTATTTCTGAGGCGTGATGGGGATTGTGAGAATTAATACCAAGAGATGTTGTGACTTACAAGAACTTAAATTCCCAAATAATGGGCTCTGAATGAGACTGGCTATTACTCCTCATGCATCGCCAGTGATACGCAGTTTCCCAGATTCTTTCCCTGCTTCGAGATTATTGCAATTACTTCTTTCTATAGAGGCTTTGAAACAAATTGTGCTGGTTGAAGCTGTCTGCTGATTGGTATATTTCAGGCTTTTCCATGGGACTGGCTTTTCCTGTCAATACTCAGAGGTTACAGAGTTCAGGATTGAGTAGCCTGTGACAGGAAGACTTCTATACAGCATGTTTTTCACTCAAGATTTTATGCATAACTGCAGAATGAGTAACAATTTCTGGGAAATGTCACTTTGCAGCATCCCTGGCTCTGCAGTCTGTGCCTATGACATGCTTGACATTGCCAATGTATTTACTGGGAGATTCAAAGAACAAAAGTCTCCAGATTCCACATGGACACCAGTTCCTGATGAACGAGTGCCCAAGCCCAGGTACGTTTCATATATAGTGATATTGTTCTGTTCCTGCACGCAGCCCAGAGGTTTTTGACAATTTGAACAGCCTTGTAAGGTGTAGATACAATTGAAGATACATGTTGTAACAGTAAAATAGAAGTTGAGTTGCATTTGGGTCTAAGGTATGCAAGTGAGAACTTTTCCACTTGCAACAAGAGTTTCCAACAAGATTTGTGTGACATAAATCAGGCCACCGTCAGATCTACTTGGTCAGAATAATCTAGCACTTAAGAGTGGTGTGAGTTACATACCTGTTGCAAATTGGTTTGGTAATGGATATATCTCATTACAAAGCCTGCACCAGTTCTGCAGTTTGCTGTTCTGCAGTTAACATTTTATGTGCCACAGAGGATGCATCATGGGGAGAAAAAAACAGCATTCCATCAAAATGGAGATTCGGTTTACCTCATTCCTCCTATGAGTTGTTTTCCCTGCTTCCACTTCCCTCCTCTTTGCATGTGGCTCCTCTATTACACTCTCTTCGTATTTCCTACAAGCACCCGTTTCATACAAGTTGCTGTTGACAGCCACTTGTTAACTCATTTATACCAGTAGCATTTTGCTCTGAGAATATGATACGGATGTAGATAAAGCAAATTCATTTATCTCAGTCAAGCTCTACCACTTTAAAGTATGTTTACAACACCTGTGATATCTTGCATAACTTCAAAAGAAAAACACATCTGAAGCTCTGTGGTGGCAACTGAGCTTCTACCTAAATCCAAAGTTGGTCCATGGCATTTTAGAGTTGCCGAGTATAGTATTCCTGTGCTGTCTTTATTCTGAGGTTGTCACTCAAGAGCAGAGCCTGGAGGTGACTGGAAAATCTGGTAAATTCTGTGTCGGTTTTCGGTCTGAACTGTAGTGAGGAACCTGCTAACGCTGTTGCTGGATTTTCTTCTCTTTTTTGCAGTGTTTCAACAACTTGTTGACATGATGGGCTGCCTTGGTAGTGCAGGGCTGCACGAGGGCTCCGAGGTCGTTTGTTTGGAACTTACTCAGATAAAGTGGAAGGGACTGGCAGGGAAGGGGGAAGGGAGAAAGAGAAATCTTCTCTTTCAGTAGGAAGGAAGAAAAGAAGATTGCTTTGTGAGTTTGTGGGATGAGCCAATAGCAGGCTAACAGTTATAATGAAGATAATACTGCTCCTTCTAAGCCAGTAGGAGATAACATGAACTGAATTGGTGAAAACTGTTTCTTGTAACATTTGGCCATCAATCTGATTAATAGAAATAATCATTACTTCAAACTCATGTTGAAATGCATGAGACGCCCAAGACACCTTTGAAATAAGATCATTCTTATTTGGATATCTGAGAATAGTGCAGAAACATTAGTGCTCCTATTGATCCTAACATTTCTCAGAAACATACTGGAGCCTTCCAGGGGCCTCGCTTCCTTTTTTGGCTGAGGTGCACAGCAGGTTTTACTCAGTTTTATGTTTAGTCAATTAAACCAGTTTTGAGATTAAAACAGGATTAATCCAATCATGTGATTAGGATTTAGGAGGAAATAGGCCTCCAGATTAGATATGCAGAAACCCTAGGTACCAGGGTGCCAGAAGGCTGCTCTCTAGAGTTCTCTGGGAATGTCACCATGTGAATCAGTGCCCTTGCAAGGACCTAGGAGAGCCTCGGTTTCTCCTTCTCTCCCTCTATTGCTAATTCTATATGCAGTTACAAGACAACCAAAAGATTTTGGATACAAAGAGGCAGAGCACAGAGTCTCTGCATGTAGCGTTCATTGGGCAGCTGTGTGGGACCAGACTCATTGACACAGCTAGTCCCCTCCAGTCCTGTGCTACCTTCCTACATAACATTTAGTTACCTGAGATTTGAATATTTATCTAAATCTGAGCAACAGATACGGTAGGACCAACTCTATATTTTGTTCAAGTTTACACTACTGCATTGATGTCAGTGGCTCTACCCACGTCAAAGCAGATGAATATTGGACACTGCAGCCTGTTTATGAGCGGGTGGGTCCATCTTTCACCTTCCCATCTCACAGTGGCTCAAAGGCTTGAAGAATCATAATTCTCTAGGAAATGGGATCAAATGGACCTTTTGTTGGAGAAAATAACCCACAAAATATTAGTAATGGGCAAAGCATTTTGCTGCTTCTTGTGTAGAGATGACCTGTCCAGGCAGGAAGGTTAAGTTACCTCTGAGGAACAGGGTAGATTTTAGGAATAGGGTGAGCAGATTTGCATTTATGTTGTCGAAGAATTCATGAGATAACATTTCAGTGAAAGTCTTCCATGTGCTACTACACTTAAATCATCTCATCCAAATTGAAAGAAGGGTAAAACCAATGTTTACATGGATGCTTGCTGGGTTGTCTTCTCCAATAGTCCAGAGAGGACTGAAAGTAGCATTCTTTCACACATGCTAAAAAAATCAACTTCCTTCTGTATGTTAGGGACTGCTTTTATTCCAGGAAAAAGCAGTCAACTAGGCAAGTTACAGATCAGAAAGCACTTGTGCCCAGTGGGCAGCATCAAGCCAAATGCACACATGCAGTGATTAGGGTCCATGCGAGTAAATGAACTACAAACTATGTGTGTCACACAGTGCTTTTAGGTGACACGTTAAGTCCTTTTGAGTGAAGGATAGAGCAGGATTTTAGGCTTCCCACAAGGGGCTGAACAAGTCCACCAGATTTCTCAATCCTCCATTTAAACCCTTGTAATGCACAATTAGAAATCAGATTTCACTGAGGGCCTCATTACAAAAGGAGATTTGCACTAGGCATCAAATAAGGGTTCTGGCTTTACCCTCTTGTTTTATTTAGGCCCGGTTGTTGTGCTGGCTCTACATCATTAGAAAAATATGTAACCTCGAACGAGTTCCCAGATGATACTCTGAACTTCATCAAAACACATCCACTGATGGACGAGGCTGTACCTTCCATTGTCAATCGACCCTGGTTCCTGAGAACGATGGTCAGGTATGTACCTCCAAGTGAACTCTTGTCCTCATCGTAGCTATCAAGTTGTGCTAATAGTCTTGCTCAGAATACTCTCAAACTCTGTAAACATCCTCGGTGTGCTGGGCATGAATCCAAATAAGAACGATGGCAGCACTGAGCAATCGCCACAGAATTCCCCGAGCAGCTTTCAAGATAGGAAAAATACTTAGTCCTTTCCAACCATGCTGTGCTGAAATGGAATCTTGGAGGAAATGCCGTGCGGGGAAGGTTGACCCGCCTGTTGGCTTATGGGTCAGTGTTTGAGACAGCTCTGTAGAAAACTTTGGGCAAGGATTAGCAGACAGCCCAGGGATATGTACACAGGATATAAACATGCCTGGCAGGATATGTTCACAGGATATGAAGATGTCTGTCGGGATATGTACTGGTATGTTTTAATGTTTACAGAAGTGTACAGACAGAAGTAATCACATAATCTGTATCCTTTCTATGGCAACAAGAGAAAAATAATAATGAAGAGATTTGAACAAAGACTCATAAATCAGCAAGCCTCAAATACACCATCCCCTTCCTATGAAAATACATTCCCACTCTCTGCTGTGGTCACTATACTACTTATCTACCCTCCAGTTGTGAACAGAATAATGTGACTAACTTTTGCTGTATTTTCCCCTCTTCCTCCGTACAACGGTAGAGTTTTTGCCAGGCAATGTTTAGCTCTGGAAGGGTCTGACTTAGTTTTAGCGATGTATCTTCTGTCAAGTTTTTATGTCAGGTTCTGTACCTCCAACGAAAGACGAGCGCAGCAAGCTCTGCAGAGCACTTTCCTTTGTTTGCCAGTATCAGAAAACTGGCACTAAATCACCAGTACTCATTTTCAATAAATTGTGTCATCCCAAGATTCAATATCATCTCGGCACTGAACTCGCTTAGTGGTGGTTGTGTGATTATTTTTAGTGAAGTAAAATGGTGTTTAACGTCTCACTACAGCACTCACACAGCTTTTCCTGCCAAAAAAGTTGAGTGTAGATCAGTTGTCATTATTGCTGCTTTTAATGTGACAGAGCTTGAAATTAATCAAAAATTTCACTACGCTGATTTTCTTTCCCTGCCTGAAGAAGTCACCAGGCTAGTACTTTGCTTTCGATTGGAAGGATAATTCCTAAATGGCCTCAGACTCTTAGCACCCCTTCAGCTTTCTGCAAACACTTCTGCTAGCTGTTGGACATGCGGATGTGCAGACAAACACACGAAAATTCCCCACCATTTGGGGAGCCAAACTGGTACAGTCTGTGTTGACTTATAGGGTTATTCAGCTAGGAAAAGTGCTTAAATACGTTATATGGTTGCTGGAAGGCTACCACGCAGTTATCTGAAGTGGAAAAAGTGATAAAATAAACAGCAATCTAATCCCAAGTGATGCAAAATGCTGTATTGTTATTCTAGATACCGCCTGACCAAAATTGCCGTGGATTCTGCTGCTGGGCCCTATCAGAACTACACCGTGGTTTTCTTGGGATCAGAGAAGGGAATAATCCTGAAGTTCTTGGCACGGACAGGAAACAGTGGTTTCCTAAACGATAGCCTTTTCCTGGAGGAGATGAACGTTTACAATCCTGAAAAGTGTGTATCTGATTCTTTGTACTTATGTATGGGCAGCTTTGATCTTCCGATTTCCCAGAGAGTAGGTTGTCCCACAAAAAGGGAAGTGGTTAAAGAAGCCAAGTTTTTTGAGTAATTTTAAATTGTTTGGGGAGGGCATGTCTGCTTATCAGTCTCTACATTGCAGCAAGATTTTTTTTATTCAGCATGTGTAGAAAATAGCACATGCTATGTAGCAGTTGATGGATAATTAAAACTGAAATTCTGCAAAGGAAGATTAATTTTCTAATCCTGTAAAAAACCTGATTCCTCTCCAAATAACTCAACAACCAGCAAGTCACTCTCCAAGGGAAATTTCCCGCATTTCAACCTTCCTCAAGTATGCCTCAGGGGGCTTTGAAGTGGGCCATAATCATACAGAAATTTCAGCTATTTTGAGTGCTGGGGAAGAATAAACACAAAAAGTGAAGGGCCCTCAGAAAGCTTGTCTGGTGTACCGTCTCTCTCCACTTCTTATTCCCCTGTCCTATGCATTTTTAATACTTGCTTATATGTCTATCAGTGTTTTTAGTGGCTATTGTGCATTCTTTTTCCTTGGCTTGTTCAATTCTACCTTTCCGAGGGTTTTTTGTGGAAGTTTTTTGGGTTTGGTTTTTTTTTTCAGCTTGAGGAATGATTAAGTTTTCATCTGGTTTCCCAGCAGAACTCATTTATAACCTTACCTCACATTTTTTCAAATCAGGTGCAGCTACGACGGTGTGGAGGACAAGCGGATAGTGGGCATGCAGCTTGACAAGCCCAGCAGTGCCCTGTACGTCGCCTTCTCCACCTGTGTCATCAAGGTTCCTCTGGGACGTTGCGAGCGTCACGGCAAATGCAAAAAGTACATGTTTTCTGGTGGCTGTCAGAAGCCCGCGCCAGGTGT